TATGTACCTTAAAATAGTATTTTACATGACTTTTAAAGTTGCAAAACATTTTACCTTTTCCAATAAAAATATAAATAGCTTTCTCTTTTTTTAAACCTTGCAGAGTATTAGGAAGACAGGTCATCCTGCCAACCGATGAAGGGGTCCGCCACTTCCAGGGCAGCGAGCCTCGCTCTGCAGGTCACGATTCCTCCCCGGATGCCTGTCAACACAGCAGCAACATCAGGCAGTAAGTTCCTACAAACTGGTTCCAAAAGGTAGTTTTAATGGCATTTTAATTACACTTTTTCATGTCTGTCTCAGCCGTGAGCCTCGGCTCCACCACTTTGCAAGTTTAGATTTCATTGAAGGGCAGGTACAGAGCATTATTTTTATAAGATGCTTCTGATTCCAGATGATGATGATGATGATATGATGATGACGATGATGATGACGACAATGTGTGTGTGTGTGTATAATACCGATATCAAGGGAGTTAAAATATATTTTTATTGATTTCAGAGAGGAATGGAGAGGGAGAGAGTGATAGAAACATCAATGATGAGAGAGCCATTGATCAGCTGCTTCCTGCACAGCCCACATTGCAGACTGAGTCCACAACTTGGGCGTGTGCCCTGACCGGGAATCGAACTGTGATTTCTTAGTTCATAGGTTGGCACTCAACCACTGAGCCACATTGGCTGGGCAAGGGAATTAACTTTTCAACCTTTGTTTCAAAGAATCTCTGAAAGGTGAGCTAGATATAAAATCAAAACTACTGGATCCTGAGCCCCAAGGCAGTAGCAGCAGAAGAACTACAGCTCCAGCCATTTACTTTTGCTCAGTAACAGATTTCAATGAATGCCTCCATGCTAGTCACACGTACTTGGGACGGTGCCATGACATCCTATCATTGTATCAAAGAGGATGCAAATTCATAGAGTAATGTAGGCTTCCAGGAAGCCCTTCAAATGTTAAATGATGCCAGTGTTAAAAATGTTGCTTCTAAGGACATGACTTCTGTTAAGTGTAATATTTAGTGACCTTAAAATTTTGGACTGTGCTTTCTGGATAATTTAAGTACCTACCATGATCAAGCACACATTGTATTCTTGACGTTCTACTGCTGGGGTCCAACCCCAGCAGGTCCAGGGGTCCCCAAAGGTGTGGACGGAGTCGGCGAAGAAGGAATGACACGGAGACAGCGTTCAGTTGATCAGCATCCTTGCCAGGATCTCTAGCCACAATCTCCAGCCAAGTTCTGTGACCATGTTCTCTTGCTAGGTTCTCCAGCCACGTTCTCCAGCCAGGTTCGGTCGCCAGGTTCTGTAGCCGGGTTCTTCAGGCAAGTTCTGTAGCCAGGTTCTGTCCAGGATCTTTTGCCATGTTCTCTCGCTAGGTTCTCCAGCCAGGTTCTGTCCAGGTTCTCCAGCCAGGTTCTCTAGCCATGTTCTCTCGCTAGGTTCTCCAGCCAGGTTCGGTCACCAGGTTCTGTTTTTTATTGTCTTGTTACAACTGT